AGAGAGAGAGAGAGAGAGAGAGAGAGAGAGAGAGAGAGAGAGAGAGAGAGAATATAGAAACCTTAAACATGAAAAATCTGAATATTGGAAAAAAAATTAACCAACAAACCGATGGGTCTATGTGAACACAACATCAACCTTCGTATGTAAATGCTCATGTGAGGCAGCATGGTGAAATCAGGCCCTCGTCAAAATAATGAAATCAAAGAATGCAGCATTTTTCTGGCCCTTAGCAATTTTTGTCCCCTCTAAATCCTTTTATGACCATTCAAAAATATATTTGTGTGTGGGTTTTACTGGAAAAACGTTGATCAAAGACCTACAAAAACCAGTACATTTTCAGTTTCCATTGACACTAAAGTTTTGGAAGTCACCAAACTTTAGTGGCCATTTTCTCCTTAATTTTACCACTGACACCAGACGGCCCCCATCTCCTTCAATCGCAAATATATCGACTTCTATTAAAGATAAATAGAGGCATTTTCTTCGCCAAGTGCAAGACAAATGAACGAGCTTTAAGATGGTACCAATAACTCCATATGCCCAAAAACTGACGAACGCCTGATTCCGCCACGTCGTGCACTTTAAATTATATATACTCTCTGACCCTGTCCGCCAAGCTACAGCCCGCCATCCTCTTCTCAAACACTCGGTCAAATCTCTCGCTTTGGGCCGCCGTGAACTCGTTCCTCCAGCTCCCAATTTGACCCTTCACCACAAAACCGGAGCTGTCGTCTTTCAGAAAATCACTCTTCATTTTACCAAACTTGTCCTCGGTGCCTTTTTTCATACTGTCGAACCTCGTGGCATCGGCTATTTGTTCAGCAAGGGTCTCGGGTTGTCCCAGAAAGCGGCAAAGGTCACGGACGATCGGGACCGGGTCTTCTCGCAGTTTCTCGAACTGAAGGATGAATAACGGGAAGTCAGGGTTTTCCTTGAGAAAGGCGTCTGTGCTGAGGACGTGGTCGAACCAGGTACCCCACTGAAGTCCCTCGTGTAACTGGGGAAGATAATTTTTACAAATGTACGATGGCATCGTGGTGAAATCAGGAGCTATCCCTCTCTCTCTCTTTCTCACTCTCTCTCTCCCCC